AATTTGAATTAAAAGGAAAATACTTGTATTAATATCAATTGCACAGTGTAAACAAAACAAAACTTTAGGATACAAATAAAAATAAACATTTAATATAAATCAAAAGACTAAAGATACATTAAAAAAAATATTACTAATGTCAATATGATAAAAACAGCATGCAAAAATACTTTTGGAAATCATATAAAGTTAAGGACCATCTCTCCAGTTCTTATATTGATACTTAGATATTGTGGATTTTCCGAGTATACAGTTGTTTTGGAGAAGGCATTTTCTGGTCCTAGTTTGAATTTGAAATTACAAGGTTAATGAAATTGGCAGTTGAACCTGAATTTTTAATGTTTGTCTTTTTGCAATCAACCTGCACAAGTTAAACATTTTCAGTGTCACTTCTATTTAGAGAATAATCATGGATTATACTCTATATCAGATGATAATGGCTTGTATTAGTCAGTCAATTATAAGTCCTGCTACTTTTTTGTTTCCTGATTCCCCATACCCCCCACACACACCTGACCAATGACATGACCTTGATTTGTCATTAAAGCTTTGTTAATTATATCAGGTACTTCATTAGTAGGTGACTGGTCTATCTTCTCTTAGTTGTATTGTAGTCATTTGAATCTTTCTACAGTGCAGAAAGATTCTTAAAGAGTTGATAATTGATACTTGTTTTACATAAAATAGTACATTAACTAATAAAAATGACTTTGTAAATGACAAAATTAACATTTTAAAAATGTTTTTATCAATTGATATATTTATCCACTTTGTGTATATATATATATATATATATATATATATAGAGCTCTGTTTTCAACATATGAGGGTGCAGCAACTCTTAGAATCAAACAGTCAAACTACCTGCACATATGATTTGATTATAGTGGTGAGGACTTGTGCATAACCAACCACACTTTTGGGAAAAGCTGAATACAGAATTAGTGCACATAATGTACTAAAAGGTCCCCAAAGCACCACCCTCTGGTTTCGAATTCAGAGTTGCCCTTAAGACTGGTTGCTGCCCAAGACTATAGGACCCAGTCAGTCCTGCTATTTAACTGTAGCTTGGAGGAGTGAGAGATGGATTCATAACTTTCCCAAGAGTATTTGCATATAAATGAAGTAATGAATTTGACTTTCCATTTCCTCAATCCAAGCCACTATCTATTACTCAACCGTGCTTCCAAATATATATATATATATATATATATATATATATATATATATAAATATGAGATGGCTCTAAGAAGAATTATCTATTTTACATATCCTCCCTAACAGTTCTACACACTTGTCACATTGTTTGGAAAGTTTTTTTTTTTTTTTTTTTTAAACTGGTTCTCTTGCCAATCTGATGTTTGGTTAAATTAAGCTGGACAAGAACTTTTCTATAGCCCTTTGTATATGAGAGATACAATTTGAGAAAGCCACACATCTACATGTAGCCAAATATCTTAATTTATCTGATAACTTAATAGATTGTCAAGATTTCATGCTAGATCCTTGATATGGGTATTTGGTAATTCTCATCTCCTCCCCTAATTAAAATGTAATGTTATTTGCTACTGGTAGCAGTAAGTAATCTGATTTGACCTTCAGTGTAATTGTGCCTTTATTAAGGGTACTATAATAAATTTACATTTGTTGATGCCCCCACCCCAATCCAAACTCCCCGCACACCTTCTGTTACACTGCAAAAGATAAAAGGTGGGGGTAATTCCATATTTTTATTTTAAAATTCAATTTCCTGATACTGGACATGAAACATTTTTACTTTTCGAGATTGAATGAAGCTGTATATGCTCTGACAGTACAAAATACAGAAGAAGAAATTCAAAGTTTTCATGTATGCTAGGCAATGCCAAGGCTCAATAGAAATTGCAGGAAGTTACAGTTGTCTGGGATAACTGTATGCCAAAGTAGGGAAGGAGAAAGATTATGAAATAGCAAATTTGTACTATGAAATTGTAATGAACACAGAAAAATGTGTCCAACAATGATGCATGGTGAACAATCTGGTAACAACCAACATCTGGTTTAAAGAAAACACAATGTATGAGGAAGCCCAGGAGGAGAAACAAAGACCTAGATCAACTATATAATGATCAATAGGAGATTCAGGAATACAGTTTTACACTGTAAGACTTACCAAAGTGCCAACTGCAGGAATGACCACCTTCCAGTGATATGTAAACTTAGAATGAAACTATGGAAATTGAAGAAGGCAAAGTAGCTCTCAAATTGCAATATGACAGATTCCTGAATGACCCAAATGTGAAGTTGAAATATATGGACAGCATTAAAAGCAAATACAATGAACTAAATGAGAATGGAAATTCAAAGTGGGACACATTTAAGAGAAGCTTTAGTAACATCAATAAACAAGATCATTCCAAAGAAAACTAGTTAATAAAAATAGGAATGGATAACAGATGAAATTCTTGATGTAATGAAAAGGAGAAAAAAAAAAACAATGCTAAGGTATGGTGCAGAATATAGGACATTGCACATTGCAGGAGGTTTGCTCCTAGTACAAATTCTGGATAATATCCCTCCCAAATATATCAAGCTTACCTAGCAGTTCCAACACTTCTTTGTAAAATACTTTATCAAATGCTTTTTCATAATTTATAAAACCTAGGTATACATCCTTTTGCATTTCTATTGCTCTTTTTGATGTCATTCTGAGCATAAATATTGCATCCCTTGTTAAAGTGCTGAAAATATATGTGTAATGACAGATTTAGAGAAAATGGAAACAAAAAGGGCGGAGTGTATAAGGGCTGAAATGTGATAAATATGGCAACAAAGATGAGGACAATAGTCCGAATAATGTAAATAGTGTACATAATACCTCATCTCAGAAATACAGATACAAAAAGGACACTTGTACTTAAGATAAGAGATAGTTGAAATTTCTAAGGCACATAATGAGGAAAGAGGGCTTGGAAAATTTGGACCTATTGAAGAAAACAGCACATAACCTACCTAATTGAGACAGTGTAAATAGTTGGTAAAAATGGATATTAGGAGAGATAACACAATTCTGGGAATCATGATTGTTCACTTCCTAAAGTGACGCTACACCTAGAAGATGTGTGTGTTCACTTTGAACACACACATCTGGGATTTCTACTTGGCAAAATGATTCGATTTTCCTTGGTACTGACAGATCAAATTTTCAACTTTGTGTCTGTAAAAGGGTGGGGGAGTAAGATTGTGTGCAGACTTTTTTTATTAACATTTGTACTCTATTGTGTACTTGACATAATACCTTTATTGAAATGTTTTGCAAAATAGATAGCACGTAAATTATTTTCCTTTTAAACAAGATTTTCTGTTTCTTAAGAATCTGAAAATTTTAAGATTGTCCACTACTTAGCATAACACAGGCTTTGCATTTGGAGATGTGAGATGTAATGGTTATCTGCATAGAAAATTGAATTGGTGAACAGTTCACATTCCAGCTGAACTTTTTAATATTAGCTTTAAAGTTTATACACTTAGAAAGGCATGAATTCACTTCTTCCTGACTCTGTCCCCATTAATACATATCTTGTTACTGGCCTGCCATGATAATTTGATAGAGAAGTGGGGTAGTAAGCTCTTTGGTAAACTTCTTCCTCGTGTTTTCTTTACTTCCTAAGACAGTGTGAATGAAAAAATGTTAATCTTGGCAGACCAATCAAAATTGGTTTGCAGAATGCACTTTGAAGATGAGCAAATTCTCCTCAGTTTGCATTTGTTTATAGGTTTTGCTTTTTAGAGAAATACTTTGTCATGAAGACTTTATAAAATGTATTGTATTATCTTTTTCTAAATTTTTTTTTTTTTTTTTTTTTTTTTTTTTTTACTAAATCCATTTTCGTTCCACAGAATGATGTCAGTGAGAAGGATCAAAGATGGGGCTCAAAAACTGTTGCAGGATCAGGCCACATGGCTTCACTTGAGTAAGTGGCTGATTTCACTTTTTTTTCTTTTTTCAATTGGTGGTAGAAGTAAAAAATTTGTATGACTTTCCAGTTTATTATTTTACTCCTTTACATATACAATTTTTTACTTATTCAAAATTACTTAAAATTATATATATATATATATATATATATATATAAATATATAAGCTCATTATTTTGATCTTCACACTGACCTATCATCAATATTATAATCAAGGTTATACTGTACTAGGTATTTTTTTTTTTTTAATTACTTCATCCCAAGCAAGGTGATAATATCAGACAGTCTGAGAGAGAGAGAAAAAAAAAACATTAAAGAGATAGAACAATGAAATAAACAAAAGACAGGATTCAGGCACAGATGACAATTGATATTGCATTAAAATTCTTGTAGATCAAATTTGACTCTAAAGCAAGAATCCAGCAGAAAGTTCTGCAAGTGATAAGTGAGAGAAAAGCTGTTAGCATAGAACTTTGTTACATCTAACAATTTCAACTGTAAAATGATGAGACCTAGCTGCCAATCTAGTACTGCACTTAAATTTGTAAAGAACAGGTACCAAAGTTGAAGGCTCATCAGAACAATTATTTATAAGAAAAGGCACAGGGAAGTGACATATTAGTTTGTTAAATTCTAGCATCAATGATCAATATTCTTATAGAAGTTAATTTTTATCTTATTAAAATTATTTTCATTTACAAGTTGTTTTTTTTTTTTTTTTTTTAGTTTAAATTGTATTTATACAGTATTTTCCAAGTAGAATGAAGTAGTTAGCTTTTGGATTTATTTAACCATCTGTGATCCAGCAAATCTACTAATCTAGCATCTCACAGATTCTCTTGATACTGGATTAAAGAAAGTTAAGATATATTTGTTTCATCCACCATTCTATTTTATCAATCCCTCCCTGCTATAATTATTTGCATAATATTTAATTTTTATTTTAGTTGCAATGAAATGTCAGTTTTAAGATACTTTCAAAACGACATATAACATAGTTCTGTAAATACTGTTTGCAAGAGCTTTTTTATAAACAGCTTAAAGCCATATCACGTTGAAACACTAGTTCTCATCTGATCAATGAAGTTAAGCAATGTTGAGCCTAGTCAATACTTATGTGGGTGACCTCTTGGGAATACCAGGTACTGTAAGCTTGGATGTGTGGGTGGTGTAATGGATAATGGCTTTGAATGAGAATTTCAAGAGCTGAGTTTGAATTCCAGTCAGGTTCGTTATATTTTCTTATGCACAAATAGCCTTGGGAAAGGTATAAAATCATCTCTTCTCCACCAGCTATGGGTTAAATAGCACAGATAAAAACATTATTACAATTCCAAAATATGGCTCAGCTTTAACTGGCAAAAGGTTCATAAGCTGTAAAAAAAACAAATCTGTCAGTCAGTTTATTTTCATAAGGATTTATTAGTAATTAAAACTAAATTTTTAGAACAATGAACTACTAACTGAGCAATCTGCTGCCACTATGAAACTATTTACAGCTTTCTGAATTGCTTGTTGCACAGACAAACCTGATTACAGTCTTTGTAATGTATAAATTAGTTGAACACCCATTTTTTTTATCAGATAAGTATTAGCTTTCTTTTGTCTGGACAAGGTAATTTATTTTAATTTATAAAGAGGAGAGTATCATTTACATTTTACTTGTTTGATAAAATATATTTAATATTTTTTTTCTTTTAACTTTGATTCATCTTATCCTTAAAATATATTAGATCAGTATAAAGCCTACACCTTAAATTAAAACCTTTTTTGCATTAAATGTATTGAATCAGAAAAAAGTTTTTTTTTTTTTTTTTTTTTTTTTTAATTGACCATCTCAGCTTTTGAACTGTTTCTTTCAAAATGTCTTTCAGCTTTAAATAACTCACAAAGGGTTAAGTTGTAAAAAAAACAAAGAAACAAAAAACAAAAAACAAATCCAATCTTAATTGACCTGCAGTTTGATTCGATCACCAAACTTAAGCAGTGTTGAGCTTGAGCTTAGATGGGAGACTGTTTGGAAACACTGGGTATTGTAAGCAACCTCCTACATCCCAAAATAAGTTTCGGCTTTAAGTAACTCACAAAGGGTTGATAAGCTGTAAAAAAGAGAAAAAAATCGATCTTCATTTTACACAATTCACTTCATGGATTTAATACAAAAGATTTAAGGCATAAAGATAGTAATAGTTTTGTTCAGTATAGTTACATAGGATTAAGACCGTATGTGTAAGCATGCATCATTTTTACATAAAACATTCTTTATTATAAAGGTACCTATTAAAATTGGAATATAGACAGGTTTAGATTCTTTACTTTTTCTAACCATGCAGAATCGAAACGCATTTGTAATGTTTCTTGTGTTCTCTATTAACTCCAAGAAATTAAATCATGCTCTTCATCTAAGTGTTATCTTTTTTACTGAGCTTTGAGATTAAATACTACTGGATTTTAGTTTATTCCAAGATCTTTTAAAACTTAGATATTTTAAGCTTTTGAAATCAGTTCTTTGTTTACTTTCACAAACTTGGTGAATAAAACTATAGCCAAAATGATTATTGATGTTTCTTAACATAAATATACTATATTTATAAATTTAAAATCTCTTTATTTGCAACAAAAATGTTGCTGATAGTTATGAGAGTGATCCAATTATTTTAAAGAAAAATCTTGCAAATAGATATTTCTGATTTATTGAATGTCGCATAATTTGAGGTATCATGTCTTGTTAATTTTTATTGGAACTCATTTTTATATGGTTTCATTCACCATGATGATTCATGTACTTTCAATGAAAATACTCTTGTTTTTCTTTTTTTTTTTTTGTAACAAGCTTATGGAGCAATTTAAGTTTTGATAAAGAAAAGTAGTGTGTATTATGTAATTGTATAAGGTGCAGCAACATGGTGCTTAATGTAATCTGATTGGTTCAATAAGTTCAAATTGGTAGCTGACTTGAAAAATGGCCTACATTTTGTTAATTGGAGCAATGAAAGCCTTGTTAATTTTAATGTCTCCAAAATGAAACTGCTTTCTGTTAATTGTCAGAGAGAACCCTTTCTGCCTTCCATCAGCATGACTAATGCTAACCTCCAGGAGAGTGACTCATTCTGCCTTCTAAAGCTAATATTTTCCACTGACTTATAGTGGAAGGATTATATTGAATCAATTGTTAGGTCTGGTGCTATTGTTATATATTTAGAGATTCTTCATGAAATGCTATTGGTCCTGACCAGGCATTTCTATTTACTTAACCACTGCTGTAATGTAGCTTTTATATAAATAATTTCATAGTAATTGTTTTGATCAACTTTCCTCTATGGTACCTAGATTTTATGAATATAAGCACAGTATTTGATTGGTGGCAAAGTTGCATCATTTTGCAGTTGAAATGGCAAGATATAACCATAAGTTGTATGCTAACTATTTCTTCTATCCTACTTCTTGCTTGCAGAACTCTCTTCTGGCTACTTGCTTTTCAGTCAGGTTTGATCGTCAAAAATTTGAATGCAATGTGTAAAATTTGGTAATAGCAACAAACAGTACTCAACTGTAATAGAAGTTGAGTCTTATTGACCAAGTTATCTGCTGGGCAAATTGGTAGGTGGTTTATATAACAGTCTGGGGAAATTCTGTTCTGTTACCCGGGCAAACCTATTCTGTAAGTTCTGATTGGCTGATGATTCCAGTGTGGATATTGTGCTCAATAAATACCCAGCATACCGTGACTATTCAAGAGAAGGAAATGTATTGAACTACAACCCTGTTTATTTTTGTCAGCTAACTGGATGCTAGTTGGAAACCTCCTTGCAAAGGTGAGTCTTGCAGTTTTGATTGGTCATGGTCTTGATTGGTCACGGTCTTGTCTTAATTTCTGTTCTTTTATTGTTCTTGCTCCTTAATACTTTTTTTCTTGTATTCTTTCTCACACTATACCCCCCCCCCCCGCATCTTAATGGCTTTGTTGTTTTACTTGGGGTGGAATGAGTTAAAAAAAAAAAAAAATTATCAATATCTTGTTAGCTTCTATGAAATCATTGATTTTAAATTACAATAAGTTTGGTCATTTTTAATTCTTATTGCCTTGACATATCTATATTTTTTTTTATTTTTTTTTTTTTTTTAACAAAATTATTTTCAGGCTACATTTTTTTGTAAATGCAATTGAAGTTCCATGAACAACAACAGTGTATTATGGATTATCCTTTAACTTTTAGTATTGCTTCCTATAAGAATTACTGCAATTATTATTGGTGTGCATATGTCTTCTAATTTTTATTCCAGCATGAAATCTCTACGTGAGAATGTAGCAAAAGACCATACCAATTTAAAGAACAAAGAATTTGAAGAAGGTCCAAAAGCTTCTTATGGTTATGGAGGCAAATTTGGTGTTCAAAAAGACCGTATGGATAAAGTAAGTCTGTGTATTACTCCAAGTGTGTATGTGTGTGTGCGTCTGTATAATATCGTGCATTAAGTCAATGTTCCATAAATCATTTGTGGGATGCAAGTGAAGTTGATCCAATTCAGACTGGTCTGCCATTATAACAATTAACCATAAGTTGTTATAAAAAAAACATTAACCCAAATTGGAAACAGGTGAAGAAATAAAATTATTAATCATGGATTTGACAGATCAATCAAAGATCTCCTCCATAAAAGTAGTTGGCAATTGGAGAGAAAAGGTTGGATGTTTCATGGGTAGCCAGCCACCAGCATACACCAGAAAGCTATGCAGTAAGAAGAATCAATTCCTTGTTTGTTGCAGAGAGGGTGATCTTAAGAGTTCCAGAGAATCTGTTGAGAAAGTGATAATTTGGATTAAGTGGTTGGACCCATGGGAAATTAAGATGTCAGCAAAATTCTCCTACTCTCATGCATGTCTGATGAAAGACAATTGTTAAAATATCTTAGCAATCTTGAATTTTTCTCATGAACTTGCATGTAGTCAATAGGAATCTGACCAGAAATTAGACTACGGTCTATAACAAGGGTCGGCAACCTACAGCCTGTGGGCCAGATCCGGCCCGTGAAGGCATTTTGACCGGCCCGCGAGCCTGATTACCAATGACTCTATTTAGCATCAACAAGTTTGAAACCAAATATTGAGACACTCTCAATTAATAAAAATCACCAAGTTTGCCATTAATTCTTTGGCTGTTGGTGATAGCTTAATGCCGATGCTATGTATTTATAAACAAATGATTCCAACAATGTTTTCAATTGAATAAATATTTTTTTGACTACTACATTCATCTGTTGTTAATATAAATTATTTTTATGTATATTCAACACTTGTGATTAAATGTGAATATGCAGATCTATCAACACTTCTCAATTTAACTATATCGTCGACCTTCAAATGAAATTTGTCATTTTCCATAGAATGTCTACACATCTATGTGCACTAAAAATATTAGACTATCTGCCAGTTATCTTTCATGAGACTTATTTTACCAAGTTGCGTTGCCTACGTTTAATGTCAAATAATGGATACATATTTATGACCCTTGGCTACATTAAAAGATAACAGAAGCGAAAGGAACGATAAAGTGAAAGAAGCCAGGGAGAGACTGACATGCGAGGTAGCAGAAATTTAAAGACAGTTAAACATACGTGCATTATACATACATGCCTCATGAATGTGTGGATGATACCGCATTTGTACGTACGTATATTTGTTACTATTTGTACTCGTATGTATGGTATATGTGCTTCGTTTTTGTGTGTGTGGTTCGTTTGTGGAACAATTTTTAATAAGTTTCAAACCTACATGTCATAATTTCATCCATTTGACTTCAGTTGATTTTTTTCACTTTGAAGTATTTTGACATTCCTTGAGGAAAAGTAATTTTTGTTAGGTGTTTTTTAATTTTAGATTTTCTTTTGTTTTTCTGATTGCTCAATGTTTATTTTCATTATGGTTTTAAATATTTAGGTTGACAGGGGTCTGCATATGTAATTTTCCTTAATTTTTCATTAATGGCCTTTGGCCGGCCTGTGACCCGTCATTAGAACACAATCCGGTCCACGGGGTCGAATGAGTAGCCTAACATTTAACATGAATGTCTTGATTGACAAATGAATGAATAAATTAGACTACATCTTTGAAGAATTTTATATTGCATATATTAGAATAACTATAACTTTGT